AAAACTGCAGTTATAGTCACTAGATGACACACAGAGTAACTGCTTTTTATAGATAGCCGTTTCCAGTTCTGTTGTTTAAAAAGTACAGAAAACATATCCGATTTTTTTTTCCCAGTTTTATACTGAATGATTTAAAAACAAATATAATGTCTATTTCTTTTTTGGTCTATCGATGTCGATAAAGGGCCTAAAGGTTTAACACTACAGATTTAGATGATCATCTGAGCAAAACTTTCCACAGTGTAAAAGTTAAAATACTACTCACTGTTTCTGCAGCTTCTCAGAGCACAAACTGTTTGATTAAGCAACAAAATTCAATAGCTACTATAGATTTAAAACAGTGAGAGAATTGTTTCAACAACATTACTTTACCCGAGCGTAGTTGTTCTTCCGTACAAAACTTTTTCTTTTTTCAAAATATGACTCAGTTTGAATTTGAAGGTGTGAACTATAAAAATAGTGCAGTTAAACTAATGCTTGCTGCGAACTGTTCTTCTCAAACTTTTAAAAGTTAGCTAATCGTTCAGGATTGAAAAAGAGTAATCTTAACAACTTTAGTTAAAAACTTTTTATACTGTAAGCAACCTTCTTCGTAAAACATTAACATAGTAAAGACAGAAAAATTAATATTTTTCACAAGTAAAGTGATATCAAATCAAAAAAGATTGAGCATTCAAAATGCTAAGCAAGACATGCCTTTTTTTTCCCCTTGTATCACATTGCTCTCACTACAGCTAACTTTTGAGCGGTTTTCAAAGACTGAAACTCGCTCGAGAACATAGGTCAAAGTAACTCTAATTCTCTTATCTTTTCCAGAAGGATGAAAACCTATATTGTGTCAGATTTCAGCCACCGACCTATTTTTGAGAAGTGTAGCCCAGGCAATAAATTAAATCATTAACTGAGTTGTCCAAACGTGACGTTACTACACATTCTGAAGGACCGTACATTCAGAACTGTTCCAGTTGCCTGCGCAAAAAATGCAGTTCATAGAACTGCAAACATGTATTCAAATTCTCAAACTGTCGGCAATCTGCGGAGAAAGCTTCTGTCGTAATGGCAATTTCCCAACAAAAAAGACAACAATTTATCTGCTGACGGCGCGAAATTATTTAAATAATAGAAGCTGAAAATTAAACCGTAACGGCTGTGACAGCCGGCGGCAATTGATCATCCTGAGGTTTGGATAAAAATGTGCTTTTGTCTCATGGTCATTTAGTTCCCTCATGAACTTGTGCAAATTTTCTCGTGCATTTATATTTTTTTTGTTGTTGTTTTGTTCAGTTGTCTCCACCAGCTCTGTGATTGCCATTACGAATTGTAAATTGTGTCGTTTGAATGGTTTCTTTTGAGTTAAACACCTAAAATTTTGGAATTTGAATAAAACTTTCTAGTCCCATCATTGCTTCACAGCTGAGTAACAGTAGTAACAAACCAGATTTTAAGTAGCAAACCAGATTCCAACTGCAAATCATAGAGCAATTGATTCTTTTAATGTACATCGCGTTACAAGTGATCTCTCAGACACTTAATTTTCCTTCGTTTTATCAGTTTTTGAGTAGTTTTTCTCTTCACTTATTCTTGACGTTAAAAACGCAAAATTTCGTCATTGGATGTTATACCGAGCATAATACGTACTTTTTTTGGCAGGGTTATTCGGCTTCTTCAAAAGATTTTTCAAACTTGATCTTGCTTGATCAGTGTTTCGA